AGAGGAAAGTTGAGAGGGTCTCAAGAGAAAACAAGCAGAGTGAGCAAGTGAGAGCGAGCACGTGCGAGTGTGTGCACAAGTGTATGTGGAGAGCAACTGCAGCTGGCTGGTTCTTTCGGAACCCCAGAAGGATCGTATTGGTCCGACCGGGATTCCCAAAGCTTCTGCTTTCTGACCAGCAGAGGACTGGAAATTGGATCAAGCGAGCAGGTTCAGGATGATATCCCGCTAAGACCATGAAAAGGTAACAAGTCGTTGGCACAAGCCTGCTTGTTTTAACCGCTTTACGTACGCACGGCCTGTGTACCTCATTCAAAAGCCCCACAGCCGGATTGAAACATTTGAAGTGATATGAATGAAATGTTTACGTGAATGCTTCACGCTGAAATGCACACTGAGGATGCTTACACTGAGAGGCATCTTTTACGAGGTCTTTCGGCAGTGTGTAGGAATGGTGGTTGGTATTGCTTTGCTTGCGCAATAACTTGCTGTATGCTTCACTCCATCTCTCTGTTACAAAAACCGTGTCACCAGTGTCAACGTCTTTTGAACGTTGTTTTCCCCGTGTGAGTCCTCATGTTCGGGGGGAGAGTTACAGAAACCAAAGAATACCTTGAGGCTTCGTAATACATGTTCGTGATACATGTTCTTACCCTCAAGGCTTTTGAATGTCTAATGCTTCTCGGAGTCCTCTTATTCCTGCCATCTCCCTAAATTTGCTTAGTGAACTTGCTCCGCCAACTTCATGCTCTGTTGTTTTCTTTATCTTCAACAAGTAGTGTCTGGTTTGTAGTGGCTTCAGCCCAAGCTTTCCGTAGAAGAAACAAACCGCACAAAACTACTCTAAAGCTGAGCTGCACAAGCTGTGATGCAAGCCTTTGTGAGGGAAGTAGCCCTGCTTCACTCGCCGATGGAACAGTGGAACTCCCACAAAGCCCAACGTAGCGCTGAGAAACACATACACCATCAGAGTGCCGTGAGGATGGTGCTCGCAACCTCAACTTTCAAGACGTAAAGCATGAAACAAAATACTTGCGCATGGGTTGTCAAGTTCTGACTGACTACTACTAAGCAAACAATCAGCAAGTGCACTCAGTTTTGTGCCAAAATGTGGAAGAATTTCATGCAAAGCATCACGAACCTCCGACATATATGCAGTTTGTCTTGGGAACAGCCCATTGAACTGTGAATGTGTAGTATCTAAAGTGCATCGCAAAAAGAAACACATTGTGTGCCTCTTGCTGCATTTTCAGTCTATCGAAGGCTCTTGTGGGAGAGCCTTTGGAGCCATGCCGCTTGGAGTCCAGCATCCTGGGCCAGCGTTGAACACATATTGCCTTGTTTGGGCCGATATCCTTGCATTTTTTCATGCTTCATACAGTAATTGAAATCTGAAATTATCAATCATTCAACTCGTACATACGAAGATCCAAGTGCGTGGACGCCCTCGATGGACACGGTCGATCACTTGGAAAGCTGCAGCCCACTTGATGTTTCGGACCCACTCCTCCCACTGCCAGTCCGAACGCGTAAAGATCGGAAAAGGTGTAAATGCAGACCGGCATGCTAAAACATGTTGTTTTAATCAAAATCTCCTGCAAAAGAGGGTAGTTCGGACCATTCTTGCAGAGTTCATGGTGTTCATCAAGTTCTTCCTGGTGAAGGCCTTATTACAATTCAATTTCTCTTGGGCGCCATTTGATGCCGAATCCACGAATCAAGCGAATCAAATTGATGCAGCAAAGAGGCAAAGGAAAATTCGTTCCACCATGGAAAGACAGACCACTCGCTCAAACAACGCCTGCCACATTAGCGAACACCTTGCTGCGCTCAAAAGGGCGCCACATGCCAAAGGCCAACGCGGAAAGTACTTCAAACTTAAGTACAGTAGTTTCATTTAGGTAAATGCTCCGTGCCTCCATGGAAGTCTTCAGAAATATTTTCCCATCGCCGTTGATGGAAACCTTGCAGCAGCATGGTTCAAGTGACAGAAGCTGATTGAGAGCAAAACACCTTCGGTTGCACAGCTCGTGTACCTGTAGCCAGCGCCACGAAAAACGAACAAGAACCTTGTATACATTGGTTTGAATTTGCCATTCGCCTGAAAATGCGAAAGCCACGAAAATTTCCACGCGAACGGCACGAAAAGTGCGAAAAACATAAGCACTGCAAAAACACGACCAATATGAACACCGTGAAAACCAACAAGGATAGCGGCGGAATGATTTTCAAAGATGAAAGACATCGGAGGAGCTCAACCTCTGGATGGGTTTTTGCCAGGAAAATGTATTATGTTGCACGTCGCAAACGAGCAGCCCCGCAACAAATCATCAAGCATTCAAATGCAAATCAGGCCCAGCAGGTCCAATGGTTGCCCAAAAGAATCCCCCAAAACTAAATCGGGGTTGTGGCCTGGGCGCTCAAGGGTCAACGAATGTAGAGTGACAAGCACATACTTCGAACCGATTCATTTTCCGACTGGACCAAATGTTTTGACGCCCTCTGGTCCAGGCTGTGCGCTGGCAAGACACATCACAAAGTGGGCCACAAGAGTTTGACCCGCGGTATCGCTTGCCCTCAAAGTCATGCGGGTCCAAGTTCGTACCTCCTCGCACGTTGGAGGTGCCAAGGGCTGTGATGAAGCTGAGTTCCTGGAGCGCTGGTTGCCCACGGTCGATTTCCAAAAGGTCATCTCCTTCTCGCATGCCCTGTGACACATGTGCTGTTGCTGGCGCTGCTGCCGCTGGTTGTGTTGGTTCTGCACCCTCTTGTACTGCATGAGGTTCATCGCCATCGATGACAGTGGTGACGTTCTGTGGGCCAATCGGAGTGACCCGCCCCCACCGGCTCCCGTCCGAATCTCCGCATCCGAGCAAAACTCCGGGACGTCTGGAGGCTTCCTCCTGCGGCACGCTCTTCACAACGCTTGCTCTCACGCTCGACTTGGTTGTCGGCTTCACAAACAGGCGTTGGTGAGTCTCGTAAAAGATCTCCTCAAGGTTGTCACTGACGACCTGGACTGCCTCACTCTCGTCCATGGTCAAAATGAACATCTATCATCGTTAAGCGCGCTGAGGTCCTCGAAGGAGTCTTCATCCTCAATCTCGCCATAGGTGGAAGTCGCCTCGTCATCAATCATCCTCATTCGATTCAACTCTTCATCCCAGAAGGTAGCACAGCACCACCTCCGGGGCGTGAAAATCTGTTTACGGTGTCCATGACCTTCGTCCAACTTATCGCCGAAGGGATGGCCTTCTGAATGGCCACCTCACTCGTGGTAATCAATGGGCCGGTTGGTGACCACTTTCAGTCTCTGGCATTGATCCTAAGTGAAAGGGCGTGCCTCAGGATCAGGTGTCCCAACAAATGTCTTCCTGGACTGGTGGCCAAAAGATCCAGCCCTTGTCTCTTCAACTCTGCAAAGGCCGCCTTCTTTGTTGTTAATAGGGTCGTGGGCGTTTGTCCGCGCTGACGTCGACCCTTCAAGATTGCGTCATCGAAGGCCACCTCGGGCCGCGATGCCAAGTATGACCTTGTGGCCATTGTCTGCACAGATGTCATCGACAGTCAGGTGGGCCAGGAGGGAGCTAAGCTTCGTGATCCGGCTGTGGGGCAAGCAGGCTTCTGCTTCAACAAGCCAAAGCTGCAAGCTTCTGATGTACTCCATGTCACCACCCCATGATGGGGCCGGGTCAATCTTGTAGTCCATATTCTTTTTCATACTTTTTCTATCTTTTTCTCGCGTCCTGGCTGGCTTCTGGCTGGAGCTGAAGGCCGGCTACTGTCGCAGCTGCCCCAGGTTCAAGGCCGTCGTGAAGTCCGGGATGGTACAGGCGAACGTCGTTGAACTTCAGGTTGTGGTGGACTGTGGTGGACTGGCGATGGTGACGATGCTGTACCTCCAACCGCCGTTCCAAGAGACTCCCAGTAAACTGGCACGTCAAAATGTTCAGGCTGAAGGCAAACTTGCTGCCAGAGCCTCAAGCAAATAGTTCGAGCAAAGTCCCAGCGCCGGCTAGCAAAGTCGTAGGGCTAGCGGCTAGAGTAGTAAAGTGGTGGTCGAGCTCAAAGCTCGAAGGAAAACAGGCCGGCTGGCTGTCAAGCTCCGCCGTGAGGAGCGAGGTCGGTGACGTCGAAAGAGGGCACCACTGTAGAACAGCGGAAGAGCAGTGCGGACGGCGCGCCGAACGGAAAGCCTTTTTCAAGGCAAGCTCAAGGGGCCCCTAGGGCTTGGGCTGGCAACTATGGTCATGGAATGCCAAACGGTGGGGGCGGAACCAGTGAACTATAGTGAACTGGCTGTATGCAGCGCACGGTACGCCGGAGGAGCCCTCCTCAATAGGGGCCCCCGCCTAAGCTAGGGGCTATCCTATGCTGTAGTGCTAGGTCATGGGGCCTGGAGACCCCAAGGAACTTGTACTGTGTGGGCCTCGCTGATTTTACCTCCGCGCAACTCTGATGTTTGTGCAAAGCCTACAACCATGAAGACGGTCAAAACAATGAAAAGACAAAAGCCGCCAAAAAACAAAAACAAAAACGTTGAAAACACTTATATAAGCATGCCCAAAAAATAGGAAACACTTAGACTTAAAATATCAAAAAATATCATAACATAAAATGATCAAACATTCATACAGTTGGTTATATAGAAACCTTCAGTGCATGCGTGGCACGGAGTCCGGCTCAGGGATGTTGAGATCATCCAGCTGCCGCTTAACCTCCAACCATCCACGCAAGCCAAAAAACATCGGGAAACGGCAAGCGGGCAACTCACCCCTGCATCACCATGAAGAAACACTCCGCTCAAAAGGTTGCCTTCCAAACAGAGTCCCAGGAATCAGCAGTGATAACTAGCTGCACCATGAGCGCGACAGCTCAGGCATCGGCTCTCGAGCCGAAGCAAATCCACGCCAAACTCCATTGCGGAAAGGCGAGGGCAGCAGAACAACTCTGTGTTGCTTGTGTGCGGAGTCTATCGTTCTAGAGTTCAGCAAACCTGCCTCGTAGGAACCATCACACCACCGTCCATTCTGCACAGCAGTGCGAACCTCCCTCAGTCGCACGTTGCTGTGCAGTCGTTCACATCCACGTCTTGGTGATGTGATGTGTGATTCTGGTGCGACTTGCAAACAGGTTCGTTGGGAAATGCAGCTTGGCTTCATCAAAAGATCTAGGGTCACTGGTTCCGAGGAGCCCTTCACATACCTGAGAAAAGCATTGCTGAGCTCCACTCAGTCACTAGGACGACTGATCTAAGAGAGCAGCGCTGGGGTGCCACATGACAGTCTCAACCTCATTGATACTGCAAGAGCGCAGTCATAGCATCAGCGGAAAAATGGAAATGCAATTGGTGCCCTGGCATGCAGCGAAGGGATCGAAGCATTCCACCCCAATTCTCCAGGCTCTCAATGGCATCCAAACGTAGTGCCAACCAGCCTGGTTTGGGCCATTGAGAAAGCTATGCGGCTATGCTGCTGTCGCTGGTGTGTTTCTAAATCAAGCTTGTTTCTGAGGCACGGGCTGTTGTGCCCCACAGCACGCCAGAACAGGCGGTGAGTCGTCAAGCGCACCTGCGAGTAAACCGCGGCCACCAAACATTTGCAAGCAGCAACAAAAAGAATAGCCAGCTCCCGCATTCAATAATGCTGTTCCGCCTTCCTTATTATTTTTGCATCTTTTGTTCTCCAACCCTGCGCGTTGCTGTTCCCGACCCTCAAAACGGCCGCCCTTTTCTGTTCTTCTGTCCTACCTGCTACCTATGACTTTGCTCTTCTGCCCTGCTCTCCCCCTTGCCTTCTCTCTGCTCAGTTCCCCGGCCACTCTGTGTCTTCTCCCCACAGACACCATCACAACCAAACGTGCCCCAAAAAGGATACCTTCACCTTGCTTGACAAATGGCAAGGACCTTTGTTTATGAACCTTTACGCATTTTAGATGCCAAATCTTGACAAAACATCGTTGGCACTGGCACCACAGATCGGAAATAAAGCACCCCAAGCAAAATTGACTAACAAATTTGAAGGAGAACATAAAATCAGAAAAGGATGTTATACGGGTGTGCGTTATGCGCGCCTGCGCCGATAACTGCGACTTTGGACAGGTTCTTGTACAAATCAAAGAGAAGACAACTACCAAAGAAAGGACAGCTAAGTTGGCAATTATGGACTTGTACAATAAGCAAGCTTGCAGCGTCCTGACTTGCATTGGCCTTGATCCTGATGTGTGTGTGTAGGGGGGCGCACAAAAAAAACATGTCCAAGAAAAAACACGCCAACGTTTTTTCCGCGCCCCCCCACCAGATCCGATGAACGTGCCCAGGGCGATGAGGGACGCTCCATTTGTTTAGCCCCCAATTTTTTTGAGCTTCATGCTTCTAACATCTATGACATATGAGCATATCTCAATGAGCCTATCTCAAGATTGCAGCCACCAGTGCTAGCAACGCATTGATGGGATCATGGAATGTTCCCACATATTTTGATGCATTGTCAATGGGACTATGTGCACTGTTGTTCAATGTGCATTACCAAATGATTTACACTCGTGAGTACCATATGCAAGGACCGCACTGGTAGCCTAAGCTAGCACCACAAAGATCACCTAGACCTCTTCAATCAAGTAGTAGGTGCAACCAAACAAAGGCTCAAAGGACGAACCAAAGATCGTCTCGCGAAAGCTGCCGCACTGAAGCGGCTTTTCACCTATGGCGAAGCGCGGTCGGTAGCGCGTGGACCTGCAAAGGTCTTGGCCGAAGGAATTCCTGTAGGTTTGAGGCGGCGGCATGCGAAGCTCAGCTCATGAACGTGAATGCTCAAACAAACCTAGCCAATCCCCCACATGCTTTGATACCAGAGGCTTGGATTCTTGCACACCCCAAGAGGGTTCGTGGAAGTGGGCTGAGCTTTGTGCAAGCAGATCGACCCAGTTGGTGTCTGCAGCCTCATCTTTGGCTTGTTTCCTCAAGCGCTTTGCGCTGGTGGAGTACCTGTCCTTCATGGAAAAGGCGCTCGTCTGCAGGGACCCATTCTTTGCGGCATCAAACAATGCCTTGGCATCGATCACCAAAGCTCCTCGCGTCAGCCTTGCCGCTTCCTCCGGCTTGGTGATGTCCACTTCCTTGCCCAGCATCTCTTGCCACTGGACGCGCAGGAACATCAACTCCTGCTCTGCGTCCGCCAGCGCCTGCGTCTCCGCAGCGAGACCCTCCGCAGCTTGTTGGAAGACCAGCTCATGACATTCACTGGTCCTCGCACCCCATCATCCAGCATGGAGCGGTGCACAAAACCAATGATGAAGCCACCAGTGCTTCCGAGGTCAGCACGGTTCGCCAATGCGGCGTCGCTCCAAGCCACCAGCGCCAAGTCATCATCGCTCTCAGCGCATAGTTGGTGTACCGTCATGCCAACTTCCTTTTGGCCATGCACTTCACGAACAAGGCGGTTCACCTCAGGGATGATGGATCTGTCGGCCTTGCTCAGCAGGGACTGAAGGTGTCCAACTTTGCTGCATGTTGAGGTCCACTTTGATAGACCCGCCACTGAACGGCGCCCAGGATAGCACGGCATTGGGTGCGCTCTTGAGCTGTCAGGTCCTTGTGTTTGCCGTCCTCCTTGATTTGGGAGAGCTTGCTGCAAAAACTGGCTTGGTCCAATCTCCAGCCACCATCAGGAAGTTGTTGCAGCTCCACTCCACAATGAGTGAGAGGAGGGACCTCCCACACAGACCAACGCATGGAGGCATGAAACTTCTCAATCACTTGGCTCCATCTCTTGTCCTGCTCGTTGCCGACCATGAGGAAGTCGTCAACGTGGCTGCCAATCATTCCAAGGGTGCAAAGTTCGCCTTGGACCATGGCGCGAAATCGCCACAAGCAGCCGTCACCAACCGCTCCAGTCCAAGCCCCTGCAAGATCTTGTCAACGTGCAGATAAAACTCTCGAGGGGCCACGGTCAGGCCGTAGGCGGCTCGCATGATCTGCACCACTTGACCTTGCTGAAGGTTCATTGCTTCTCGCAACTCTTCCACAGGAACTCCAAAGATGCCACGTGCCTGTTGGTTGGAGTCACCCTGTAAGAAAGCGGCTTTGGCGTCCGCCTTGAGAAGCTGCCATCCTCGGTGAGTGCAGAGTTGTAGCAACAGTTGCCTGCTTCTTCGGGACATAGTTGGTGACTTCGTATTGATGAGGCCAACGTCGGGGTCAGAGAAACCCAGGCTCACGATTCTCGCTTTGGCCTTGACTTGGCCCTTGTCTGCGGCCTTGAACACTAAGACCCATCTCACGCGCATGATGCGCGAGGGATCCACATGGCCGATGGCAGCCTTGCAAACATGGCTGGTGATCCATTCTTTGATCTCGACCTGCTTTGCCTCTTTCATGGCTTTGCGCTGGGTGACATTGAGTTTACTCCAAGACACTTCCACCCCCTTGGCCACTCGTTTTGCTATGAATTTGCTTGGATCTTTGACGATGGCTCGCCACTCTGCCTCTGTTGCTGGCTCAGGCAACATCACGCTGAAGACCAGGTTCTCGTCGTCCTCAGCAGTGAGATAGTTCACAGGTGACGAAGGTCCATGGGGAGATCTGCTTCTTGTTTGAGGAGGATCTGTTGAAGCAGCAGCTTGACTCCTCAGAAATTCCTCCCTTTGGGCGTGTTGAGGCCTCTCCAGTTGCTCGTGTCGTTGACGGGCACGAAGGAAGGGCTCATGCTCAAAGAGTGGTCCTTGTACAGGTGGAGGAAATGGAAAATATTGAGGATCCGTTGCCAGGCGTTCACCATCGATCTCCTCCAGAGGTGGGAGATCTGATTGATCTTCTGCGTCTTCTTCTTCTGGCCTCGGCGGCTCCGAAGGAGAGTATTCATCCATAGGTATCGGAGGTCCTCCTTCATCTTCAAGATGCTCAAGCTCTGCATCTTCTTTTCCTTTTCTCTTCTGACCTCCTCTTGCTCGACTTCGAGAGCGCTGAGTGCGCCGAAGATGTGGTCGCCCTTGACGAAGACTTGGATCTTCCACCAAATCATCATAGGATCCATAGTTCAGGGCCTTGGAGATGTCCTGAAACGTCCATGGCATTGCCAGCACATCATGGAACTGTTCATTGGTGAGCCTCTCTCGCTCTGAGCTGTGGCGTAGTTGATCCGTGTGGACTCTCTTCAATCTGCCTTGGCTGATCACCCATGCAATGCGGTGAGGTTGACGAATGCTCCCGTTGTAGGTGACTTTGGTTTCCAAGCCAAGTATTCTTGCAGGGCCATACCAACGAGCCACCTGGCGTCTTGGCACATCCAGAAGTTGATGTGATCGCCCTTCTCGAGGTGCTTGATGTCTCTCGTAGAAGACCAAGTCGCCGGGGTAGAAGTGGCTAGGAGGAGTAGTCCTCATGTTGGTCGCCTTGCTCAACCTTTCCAAGTCCACCAGTTCCTTGTACTTCTTCTCTGCAGCTTGTCTCAGCTCTCGATCAAAGTTCACGGAGGCCCAAAAGGGAAGATCTGATCCTTGATGAAGGCGATAGGAGTCTGTCATCTCCTTGCCAAACACCCATTGTGATGGGCTGTAGCCTCCCTTGCGGTAGAGGTTGTTGTGAGCTGCAATGAGATGCCATGCAGCAGCAACAGGATCATCTTCTTGACCTCGGAGGTGACGATCAAGCATGTACTTCAGGCGGCCAATCATGCTTTCAACTTTCCCGATCTGCCCGTGAGCTTCAGCAGGAACGAACATGAGCTCAACGTCATTCTTGTCACCCCATTCTTCTAGGTCGCGGCCTCGATGAGCTCCCTCTTTGTCCATCTTGATTTGGCGTGGATACCCAAAGTATTGCACCCAAGATTTCATCAAGCTCTGCAGCACTTCCTGAGTTGAGGGGCTCCAAGATTCTTTCAAGTCATGGGTGCTCAGGTGTGATGCAACAGCATAGCCACTGCTTTCATCAACAATGATCTGCCAGTGGTAGACCTTATTGCCGTAGGTGAACTCGGCATTGTCCACTTGGATGGTCTCCCACAATTTCTCAGCACTTTCCAGTGTCACTGGAGTTTGTTTTGGATTTTGCATCCGAGCTTCTTCGCAATCCATGCAATGGAGATTGCCAGCGATGGTGAGCATCTTCTTGGTGGCACCACGATCTCGCAGCATGCGAACAAAGGCTTGGCTAGAAGGGTGACCAAGCTTTTGATGGAGCTTCAGCAGGTTGGTAGCCCAGCGCAAGTGAAGCAGGATCACCTTCAGGATGTAGTGCCATCACTTGGTTCTCGTCAATCTCATCGAGGTACCAGGCAGTTTGTGCTTCTGGTCGACAGCGAGTTGCTTCTTCATAGATCATGCGAACCAGGCGCCAAACTCTTTTGGCCATTGCTTTCGGGTAGAAGGCTGACATTCTCGTTCTCTGACCACCTTCGCAGGGAATGTGCTTGTGGTTGCCAGGGCATCGTTTTGCCAGGTTCCAAATCAAAGGTGTGGTGCCACGTAGCAACCAGGGCTTCTTGAGATAGCCGTCCTCCACCTTCAAACCATAGCTGCATCCATCAACTCGGGCCTCATGAAGTTGGCCATCGATTTCTCCGCGCCTCCAGAAATGGCGGATTGAAGCAAAATGCCACGCACGATTTCCAAGAGGCCATTCCTCCACCACATCTCCTCCAGCTTCAATCTGGGTCTCCATGATGCGGATGCCATTGGTCACCAACTTCTTTGATCTTTGGACTTTCTTTTGAATCTTCTTGCGCCCTTCTTCGGTCAGCATGTTCAGCTCCTGGATGGAAGACGTTGGGCCTCAAGGAAACGAAACCCACAGAAGATCAGGATGCACATCTTCTATCAGGTGGATCACCTTTTGCACTCCCTGCTCAGTGAGGATGTCGAAGCCGTTGTGTAATCCACAACGGTAGGCCTGTCCTCCATTGGCGATGACTGTCTGTGAGATGATGCTGTCTTCCTCACAACACAATTCAATCACGGTCGGAGCTGACCGTTCAGGGTGAAGTCCGATGGCAGCCATCAACTCTTTCACCTCAAACTCGTAGGTGTCGTGCAAATCCTCAATGACCTCATAGTCTTCAGCGGTGTAGTGGACACGATCTGGGTCATTGGAGGTCTCGTGGTTGTCAGAGCCACTGGAGGTTTCATTGTCATCGAACAATCCCTTCTCACACGCCTCATAGCCATTGGCGTTCTTCCAGGTGAAATCCTTTCAGCAGCCAATGCAGCCGCTGAGGTAGAGGGTGAAAACTCGGCCTTCGTCCTCTGGCGCTTTATGGACGGTCCGGGCTCTCCACTTCTGCCCAAGACTGGGCATCCTCTTCTTGTAGGGCCAAGGCTTCGTGCTGCTCGGCCGAGTCCTCAGGTACTTAAAGGTCGAAGTGGATGCCTTCTTTGGAGTTGCCGGATTCGCCTTGACTAGCGATGGTGCCTTTCGATCTTGGGTCTCCTGCCACTGCTTCTTCTTCTGCTGGACTTCGTCGAGCTTTTGGAGCAGGGATTCTTCGGCTCCATCCAGGCCGATCTTCTTGTCCTTGAGGTGAATGCTGTTTTTCTGCTCGTTGGGTGGAACCTTCTCCAACTGCCGCTCGACGTCCTTGGCAAGGGGACCTGCAGCTCGTGTCAAGCCGTGAGCTCCATAGGCCGGTGTGTAGCTCAGTTTCAGGTGGCATACTTCGCAACCCTCCCAGGTTGCATGCTTGTTGGATCCGGTCACCGATCCCGGGCCGGGAGCCGCCACCACATGATGCCCCAGCATGGTGCTCCTTCCGCTCGGGGATCTTGAGCGTTCATCGGCTGTGTGCGAGAGTAGTCGAACTTCTCGCTGGCCGGCGCCACATTTTTCTTCTTGGCCTTCGCATCGGCCTTGGGATAGCCGCTCGTGGTGGCGCGCGACATGGTGCTCAGCCCAAGACCGTGCCGAAGCTAAAGCTTGACGGATGATGTCCCTCATCTCTTGAGTTGAAGATGCCATAGGATGAAGTCCATGAGCATCGGACATCAAAACAGCTGATTCATGATGACATTCACAATCATGTTCTTCATGACTCACAACTGCACTGCCTGTCAAAACAAAAGGAAATGAAGGCTCTGAAGGCGAAAAGGAAGGGAGAGGTTGCTGTTCACGACACGCTTGCTCAAAAACTTCATTGCTCATGATCTCAACTGCAAACGGCATGTGGTTGGTGTGCACTCTCAAACCTTGACCTTCACCTTCTTCAACACATGACACGTCTTCAGCAGGCAGCACCATATATGCACTCTCAGCTGGTTGTGGTTCGGCAGAGGGATGCAAAGGTCGGCCTTGTGCCATCCAATCCCTTGTCAAGTCGATCACAAGGTGTGCAGCTGTATTGCGAAAAAGAGGAATCTTGATTGTTGGTTCAATTGCAATCATCACTAACCAACCACCTGCCACGTCCAAAATGACTTCGAGACGGGTGAGGGTCTTCATGCCAACCAAAATAGGAACCTTGTTGGCCATCAAAGTAAAAATCCCAAGCTGGACATCCTGCTTTCCGACGTGCTGGGGCACAAGCAAATAGCTTTCTGAACTTTGCAGGCTACCATTTCCAAACCTGAACATCTTGCGTCCATGAGGAAGGACTTGGACTTTGTCCTGGATGCCAGTGAGCTCATGGCGCTTTTGAAGCACTTGCTCAATTGCCTCAAGCGAGCCCACCGTTTCTGTGGCTCCCAAATCTAAAACACCAAAGCCCGCCATGTCACTGATCAAGCGAGCTCCATGTTCCACCATGTAGACCGTTGCAAGGCCTTCAACCATGAAGAGGCTTCCACCTTTTCCACCTTTGCTTGACGGTGGATTGGAGGTGCGCTTAGGGCACTGGCGGAAACCATGACCATGGTCTCCACAAATGAAGCAGCCTTGTCCCATGCCTGTCGTGGCCATGACTTCTTCTGCTTGCAGGATCTTGCTCGGAGAGGAAGGGGCACTGCTTGAAGACATGGGTCTTGAAAACTTGCCTTTCTTTCCTTTCCCCTTCCCTTTGCTTTTCCCCTCCATGTGGAGAGCATAGAAACCACGACTCATGCCCTTGGCCTTGGTGAACATGCGAGATTGCTGAAAAGATCGGGCTTTGTTCTCATAGGCGCTGTAGGCTTCTTCCAATTCCTTAGTTTGCTCTGGCGACAGGTCGAAGGGCTCCGTAGTTCCAGAACACGCCAGAGCCATCAGTCTCCAGCCATTGACCAAAATGGTCTTGGCAGTAGCCATGCCATCCATCATCTTCGAAGTTCCAGAAGATGCCATCGTCCTCCGCATCCTCATAGAGTGCACTGGAGGGCTTGTAGACTTCTGCAGGCAGTTGCTTACCTACCCACATGATTTCCTGACTCGGTTCATCTTGCCACTCTTCTGGTGTCGCCATCAAGCCCCATTGTCCTTCTTCTTCGACCCAGTAGGTCCTCTTCGCTCCACGGCCATGTTGATGCCGAAGAGAATCTCCTTGAAGTAGTTCTTCTTCTTGATCTCGGAGGGCCTTCTCAATGGCCTCAAAGTTCAAGGGGTTCTGCACTGAAGCTTGAACTGAAAGCCGTGCAGCACTGCTCAAGTTGGCTCGTCGAAGGAGAAGCCAACCAAGGATCTCAGGTGGTAGAACATCAGGTGCTTCTTGTTCCAGCTCATCCCACGGAAGATCGTCTTCCGAGGATTCTTCATCTTCCTGGTCGAGATACCAGGCTTTCCATTCAGCATCAGTCCATTGCTGATGAGCTCGCCAGTCTCGCCAGCCATCATCAGGATCTTCTTGATCCAACTGTTCATAGTCATCTTCGCCTCCCTCAGGATGATGGGAGGATGCCTTGTCCTGATCTCCATCTCCTTCTCCACCATGTTGGACTGATGTAGGCGTTCTTGCCCCGGTGCTCCTCAATCTCGTAGGTGAAGGAGGTTCGGCATGAGGTTCCGACTCCGATCGTTTTGATGGAGTCTTTGTAGTCTCCTTAGGAGAGCTCTTCGTCTGTTGCCGGGCTCTCACCAGGGATCTTTGCAGCTTGCGATAGCTGTCGAGAAGGAGGGCAGACCATTGTGCCATGCCCATGCCAAGCCTAATCTGGCTCCGGCATCATGAACTGCCGTTCTGCAGAGTTTCTCCTTCAGGAACATCAGGAGGTACTTCACACCGTTCTTCTTGGACAACTTATAGTGGTCCAGTTCAGCAGTCACCGTCCATGCCTTGTGAGTGAGTCTGGATGCAAGTTCCGGACCGAGAAGGCTTCTCTTCTTTCGTGGTGTCTTTTCATATTGAAGGCGAACTTTGCGGCAGTAGTCCGCCCAGGTCGAAGGTTCTCCATCCCAGGACACCACAATCTCCTTAGCTGACATTGTTGTCATGCTCTCCAATCGTTCTTGTAATCGAAGGGCTCAATCTCAAAAGTCTCCTCAATGAAGTAGCGCCTTTGGAAGGAGAGCTTTTCGCTCCTGGAGCCTGACAAAACCGCCAGGCTCCGCTACCAATGCAAGGACCGCACTGGTAGCCTAAGCTAGCACCACAAAGATCACCTAGACCTCTTCAATCAAGTAGTAGGTGCAACCAAACAAAGGCTCAAAGGACGAACCAAAGATCGTCTAGCGAAAGCTGCCGCACTGAAGCGGCTTTTCACCTATGGCGAAGCGCGGTCGGTAGCGCGTGGACCTGCAAAGGTCTTGGCCGAAGGAATTCCTGTAGGTTCGAGGCGGCGGCATGCGAAGCTCAGCTCATGAACATGAATGCTCGAACAAACCTAGCCAATCCCCAACATGCTTTGATACCAGAGGCTTGGATTCTTGCACCATATGTGCATCATGTATTGCCATACTATATAAGACAGGGGCAGAATTTCTAGATGAGAAGGACTTGGTGAACTATTTCAGCAAGAAGCTCATGCTCAGACTTCAGCAGTTGAGAGAAATTTTCAATGAGAGGTCTACACAAGAGAAACAAATGGAAGAAAGAGATGGTGAAGCATGAGCAAAGCACAACCACAGATCAAAGAAAGCATAGGAGTGGAATGAGCAAGGGGAAGGAAGGATCAATTGGGAATAAAAGGAGAATGAGGGCATCAGACACTTGATTGATGAGGAGAAAATATGGCTTGAAAGGGAAAAGGAGCCGCCCAATGCCAAACCTAGTTCAACTAAACGGTCCGAAACACTAGAAACGGCCACAAAACACTGGGAAAACATACGCACACACCCGCATCACACACCCGCATAGCGCCCTGCTCTTTAACAAACACACAAATATATATATATATATTACTATATATGTGTGTGCCAACTCCCAACAACAAAACAATCACCACACAACTCAAGCCCTGCAGAAGAACATGTCCAAAAATCCAAAAGAACTGGCAACTCGCAAAACCACTCAAAGAATGGACACCAACTGCCATCTTTCCCAATAGCCGAAGCCATGTCGGCACTGGGGCGAAGGTTCAACGGTTGAGATTCCTTTGCTGATTCCTTTGCTTGATCAGCTTGGTTTTGTTTCCAAGCTCGAGTCTTCTCCTTTCTCACTCTACCTCTATTTGGATCCAACCTCTCTCGTTTGGAGGTACTAGTATGCAGCGACAATCCCTGAGAACCCGTCGCGGCAGCCGCGATGAACGGCTCTCCCTGATATGCGGGACTTCAAATCCACCTCTGCATCGGCAAAGCTGTGGATGAGCATGCGGACTTGTGCAGCATATCTCATGGGAACATGCGGACATTGATCCAAATAACAAAGCCTCGTCGCAAAGCTCCTCGCCATCCTGGACCCAAGAAAAAACATAAGAACTTCATACACTATGACACTATGAAATGTAGCCTACTGGCAGCGTTCAAAAGAGTTATTTGACTTTAGTGTCCTGCCACTCAAGCTCGAACATCATCTCTTCAGTAGGTGGCCAACTCCGAATATCGCTTTCCCCCACCAAACGGGCCTGAGGAAATTGCACTTAAGTTTCGATTACAACCAAGATAAGTAAGGACCCTGCAGGAAGCCCGCCATCCTCGATCAACGAACAACCAAATTACTACTGTCTGAGCAATGCAATCAAAAGAATGAACGGCTTCACTCCTCATGACAAACGAGGAAAGGCTTGAACTTTTTCAAGGCATCCATGAAATAAACTGGAGAATTGAGTTGAGCAGTGTGATGTTATGAGCATTGGCGAGGAGTCTAACTTGGTTTGACACCGGAAGCATGTGTTGGACAATTTTTGGACCTTACATCTGCACATGAAGACTATGAAGCATGGGAAGCTTGATGAAGCTTGGAGATGTACTTGTCGTGCAGGATCTGAAAGACTGCATCGCAAAGAACGAATGAGTGCCGGTCATCATCGGAGCATCGACGTACAAGCCCAAGAGAAGATAATATATAAGTGGCAGGGGCAGGTAAGCAAAAGCGGCACTTTTTTGCATTTATATATATGACTGAGTGCACTGGTCGTCGCACTGTTTCCCATCTGCCAGCCTTGTCAGAACTGTCTCAAGTCAAAATGAAACGGTGGCCACAAAGTAAGGAC